ACCAGCACCTGGCATGTTGAGCAGATCATGTACCACGTGAGAGATATCTCCAGCGATTCCACACACGATGCCATCTGCCGGCAAATCTTGTAAGGTCGCCCGGGTGGCTTGGTAACTCTCGCGCGGTACATGATCTGCTAAACATGCCAGGTGCTGGTGGCTGACGTCGTCCCTACTGACCGTCGCGCACGCCCGTCGCTTTGCCGACGCGCTTGGTAGACATGTTGCCCAAACGGTCAGAATTTTTTCAATTAACACGCTGTCTCGTGATGTTTAGATGTTTAGATCCACCCGTCCCCGTCGTCTGCTGGTCCGGCAAACCAGCCGCCAGCCCTGCCGATGTCTCTCAAGCCACCGCGTTTCCCATTTTACCTTTTGTCGCGTTAGTGACCGTCTTCATTTCGTGTTCTTTTCGTGTTCGCTGCGCGTTCTTGTGGCGTCCAACTCGCGTCAACCACACGAAAAGAACACGGAAAGAAACGGATAGTGGTCGAAAAGTGAACGCGTTGCGTATACAAGAAAACCCCAGACTCAGTCGACTTGAACACAGCCTGTACGCTGCTTTGAACGCGGCGCACAGGCTCGGGCCGGCGCAACTATTCGTCTACTTTCCGCGTCAGATTGACTTCCTTACCGTGCCCGTTTCGGCTTCATCGGGTATACTAACTGGCAACTTTAGGTGTGTGAGCAGGGTCTGTACGCGCCTCATTTACGTGCACTTAAGAAACGTGAAAAACACGAAAAATTGATGTAGATTTTTACCCGGGGTTACAAAGTTGTAACCATCGTTCGTAAGCCTCGTGCTGGACACTGTTAGCGTGGTGTACACTGCAAAATTCTTGCAAAGATTTTCAAGCAGTTTAAGGAGGTTTGCATTTGCAGACTGTTTTCTTCGTAAGTTGCGAAGAAATGGTTTGCAATTTACGAACTAACTCTTTGTAGCGTTGCGAACGATTTTCTTCTAAGGTGCGAAGAATTAGTTGGCAATGCGAAGGATTTAGTTCGCAATCCAAAGCATTTTACAACGCTTGAAAATTCTCTGCAGTGCAAGGAATAGTTCTTCGCAAGCTTTTTACAGTGTACATACCGGACGTACCGGCGCACCACGCACCACCGTAAGGCGCCACTGCGCCCTGCAGTCCGAGCGAGTGTGCAAACCCGCACCACCAACGCACTTACGGCACGACCCTGTTGCCAGTCGGAGAAAGAGGTTAAAAGGGAATTGTGGAAAGGAAAATCCGAAGTGCGAAAACGGTCTACGCCGAAGTTCATGCTTATATCGTGTGTTTGCGTGTGTGTGTGAAGGGAGGATGTGGGTGTGTGGAGGCGTCCCATTCGAAAAGGGGAGGACTCTGCTTGTAAGGACCCTTGTGCTCTTCCTTTCTATTCTTAAACCCCTTTGCTCGGGACAACCCGTCGCCCCCAACCCTTTTTCTCCCTCCCCGTCCCCCGCACGCCCTTTTCCCCTCTCGCTCCCTGGAGCCAATAAAGGCGTGATGTCGTACGTACCCTCCGAGGAGGCCCCCTCCCTCCTCCCCTGGCCCCTTTTCCCCTCGTTTAGTAACTCCCCTACTCTCCGTATTTTTCTCTCCTTTATTTTCCTTCATCTTATGTCGCCTCGGCGCAATGCTCGCAGAAACTAGAACAAGTGTGACAACGCTCGGTGTGTGTCAGGGAGAGAGAAAGAGAGAAGGGAAAAGAGAGGGGAGTAATGTCCCCGTTTTGTGAGAGTGAGTGGCTCGCCCCCAGCCTTCCCCCCGGAACACTTGCTTCCGTGTTGGGTCTCCCTCACGGGTCGATTGCTCAGCTGTGGAGAAGCACCGGCGCTCTGGGTGTTGTCGGCCCTACCGGTCCAGCGGATGGCGATGGATAATGAAAAATGACAGTTACCATCACAATTAATGATCCGCCCAATCTTTTGTAGCGTGAATAACACCCCAGTGGGTGACAACTCTGACAATCTGGTCTCTACCCATCCTGACAATCTACGATAGTCTTCGGCAATCTCTACACTGTAAATCTGGGGTGTCCAGCAGCTGTGCGACTTAAGTCGCGCGACCCAGGTTTCTGTGCAACTTAGAGCGCACAGTTGCTGGACACCCCAGATTTACAGTGGAGGCAAGCCCGCACCACACGCCCGTGAAGCGGGACGGCCTACCCGGGGCCTCCCCGTCCACGTGGTCCTGCTGCTCACTGCAGCGCAAGCACTCCCGCCCCATCCCCATCCCGCTGCGGAAACCTGGGTCGTGCGACTTATGTCGCACAACTGCTGGACACCCCAGATTTACAGTGTAGTCATATCGAATCCAAAACCCGTGCTTTTTCCCTACATTCAGGGTGCAAGTAGTGCGTTTTGCTTTGTTACAGGCGTGTTATGCCCCGAAAGCAAAATATTCGTCTAGCAATCTGTCAATCTTGCCAATCTGGTGTACTCTACAAGGGTCTTCAGGCCCCCTCGATAAGACTGCGGGCTCTCTTGTCTTCACGTGGCACTACGAGACTTAACTACTGTGTGGCATCCGTGGCACCAGGTCCTCATTGTATTTAATTTTACAGTCGGACGCTCTATTCGATATTACGGTCTGACCTGTTGCCACCTGTCACAGTCTGCACTGTATTTAAGAATCTGCTCAGATTTAAATAAACGTTCCGATGATATGTTCCAATCTGCACTGTTTTTTTTTTTTTTAATAAATACCTTTCTGGACTAAATGACATTTGTAAAGTATGGACCATAAAATTAAGCTTTAGTTAGACTATGGTCCTTTATAACAGTCTAGTGTCTTGGGCCATACACTGGAAATGCAAGTGTGTGAATGTCGCTCACCTGCAAGTGAGCGACATTCCATTCGTACACTTAGGGGGGTAAACGTGTGAATATTCTAGGAAAAATTCACACCTTTACCCCCTTAAGTGTACGAATGGAATGTCGCT